TTGTGTAGGGAAAGCCCCTGGAGGGCCAGGCCGGTTTGTTTACCTGCTGCGTCCGCAGGTCCGGCCGATCACGGCTCCCACTGGCTGCGGTTCGCTGCTCCAGGCCAATGGGAGCTGCTGGACAGGCCAAGGGACATACTGGCCACCGCTTCCAGCAGCTCCCATTGGCCTGGAGCAGAGAACCGCAGCCAGTGGGAGCCGTGATTGAGCGGACCTGCGGACACGGCAGGTAAACAAACCGGCCCAGCCAGCCAGGGGCTTTCCCTACACAAGAGGGGGCCTAAGTTTGGGAAACACTGTGTCAGTATATAATGTACTTTTGGTACTTAGTGTCATGATCTGGTACAAGGCACATGCTAAAACACTGGTAAAATGAGTTAAATTAAGAAGTGTCAGTCTGAACATTGCTTTTAAAAAAATATGAATTTAATCATCATCCAATACCAGAAACTCTCCTTTTTTATTTACAAGATTGCCCTAAAAAGAAACATAGGACGGAACAAGAAGCAATGGTCTCAAGTTGCAGTGGGGGAGGTCTAGGTTGGATATTGGAAAAAACTATTTCACTAGGAGGGTGGTGAAGCACTGGAATGGGTTTCCTAGGGAGGTGGTGGAATCTCCATCCTTAGAGGTTTTTAAGGCCCAGCTTGACAAAGCCCTGGCTGGGATGATTTAGTTGGTGTTGGTCCTGCTTTGAGCAGGGGGTTGGACTTGATGACCTCCTGAGGTCTCTTCCAACTCTAATCTCCTATGATAAGAATTGTAATACCAAATCAGACCACTGTTGCATCTGGTCCCAGCAGCCTGTCTGCAGCAATAACTAGTACCAAGTTACAAGAGACCTTACAGTGCACAATTATTAAATAACCTGCCCACAGAGGATGTTTCTTCTTAAACCCCATCAACTTAGTTATTGGCTTAGGCTACAATACACAGAAGTACATTAAAAAATATATCCTATGAAATGTACTCTTATCCGTATCTGAATCTCTGAGTACTTCCCACGCAATTAGCGGTCACTTAAGCTGTCTATCCTGGGCCACCCTTCACATATCCTCTGCATTGTTAAGTCCCATAGGTTTTCCCTCTGAGTAGCACTCAGTGGAGGGATTCTTTCAATCCACCTGTTTTGCATGTTCCTCTAGTTGCTCAATAGCACACCCATCATGGCAGATAATCTGGCTTTATTCTTTACACATGTCCCATATATTTCCATCTTCTTTTCTGGATAACTTTGGCCTAAAGGGTTGTTTAACTCTGACAAATCTTGGCATTTGTTATAAACTCACTGGAGATATACCTATCTCATAGAGCTGGAAGGGACCCTGAAAGGTCATTGAGTCTAGCCCCCTGCCTTCACTAGCAGGACCAAGTACTGATTTTGCCCCAGATCCCTAAGTGGCCCCCTCAAGGACTGAACTCACAACCCTGGGTTTAGCAGGCCAATGCTCAAACCACTGAGCTATCCCTCCCTCCATTTATTAAACTAGTATTTTTGAGGCATTTTGCTTTGGAAGGCATTTAAATGTCTGTCTGTAGCTTTAGTGGATTTCCAGCTTTTATATGCATATGTTAGGACTGAAATATCCATATGTCTATTCCATTTATGAATTCCACCAAGCTTTGGTCTTCAATATCTTATGAGAATTAATTCCAAAGGTTAAATCCATTCTACCTAAGTATTTACTTTCTTCCTTTCAGACTCTCATACTACCTCTTGAGGCAGCAGGTTCTGAAGCGGTCTTGCAGTACTTTTGGCCACTTCTTTGAGACAGCGTTGCAGGCATCACACCCTTTAGCTAAGTGCCATTCTTAGTTGTATAGACATTTCTTTTACAGACTCACCTGAATCACGGAACATCAAAAGGCAAGAGGAAGTAACAGTTATTTACTGTAACTGTGGTTTTTTGAGATGTGATGCAAACATGTATTCAACTTAGGTATGCACATACCTAGCACACTGGAGCCGGACAGTACCTGTAGACGGGCAGCACTCCCACGTAATTGCTGTGGCTCCTCCCCTGGCTATATGAGGTGACACTGCCCCAACACCCGCCTCAGTTCCTTTGCACCAAAAGCTCAAGAGCAGACTATGATGCAGAGGGGATGGAGAGTGGGTCATGGAATACACATCTGCATCACATCTCCAAGAACTACAGCTACAGTAAGTAACCGTTCCTTCTTCTTGGAGTTGATGCAGACGTATACTCCACTTAGGGCTTATCTACACTTACAGGGGGATCGATGCGCAGCGATAGATGCATCGGCCATAGGTTTAGAAGACCTGTTAAATAGACCGCAGATAGCTCTCCTGTCGACTCCTGTACTCCTTCTGTTGACTCCCCTTGCTCTTCAGATCGAGAAGAGTATCTCCCCTCGACATCGCGTAGCGTGGACTCCATGGTAAGTAGATCTAAGCTACATCAACTTGAGTTACGCTATTCACATAACTCAAATGGCATAGCTTAGATAGACTTTTCCCTGTAGTGTAGACAAGGCCTCAGTTCACTCACAAGCAATATGGAAACGTCACTGAGGAACACTGTCGGCGTTGCTTGTGCTCTCGTCGAATGAGTTTGTATCTGCTGAGAAGGCATAGCTGAAGCTCTCATACAGAGTCTTGGTACAAGATGTTATCCATCTAGAGATGGTCTGTGCAAAGACTCCTTGCCCTTTCGTGAGGTCCACATATGAAATGAACAGGTGATGCAAAGTATGAAACAGTTCAGTCCTGTTCAGATGAAAGGTTAGATACTGTTTGACATCCAACATATGGAGGCGCTGTTCCTCTGGAAAGGAATGTGTCTTAGGGAAAAAACACAGATAAATATACTGCCTGATTCAGATGAAACTCAGATCACCCTGGAAAAAACTTTGGCTGTGGCCAAAGCATTATTTGCCCTTGAAGAAATGCATGTAAGAAGGGCCCACCATCGGGGCCTGCAACTGACCCACCTTCCTTGCAGATGTAATGGTTATCAAGAATACAGTTTTCGGAGACAGGAGGGGCAGTGGACAGGATGCAAGCAGCTCAAATGGAGGGCCAATTAGAGCCACCAGAACTGCATTTGGGTCCCACAACAGGACTGGCTCTCGGACCTGATGATGTAAGTGGATAAGCCCTGTGACAAAGTTCCTCCTCTATCTTGGTGGCTCCTGCGCTTATTGGTGGATTTTCTTGCCTCAGAGATTCACCATGTGGGTTGGGGAACAGCCCAGAGACCTTCACCTCTGGGAGAACCCACAGTCCAGGTCAATTGGAAGGTTTGGGGGGAACCCGGGCCCGCGTTCTACTCCGGGTTCCAGCCCAGGGCCCTGTGGACTGCAGCTGTCTAGAGTGCCTCCTGTAACAGCTGCATGATAGCTACAACTCCCTGGGCTACTTCCCCATGGCCTCCTCCAAACACCTTCCTTATTCTCACCACAGGACCTTCCTCCTGGTGTCTGATAATGCTTATGCTCCTCAGTCCTCCAGCAGCACACCCTCTCCCTCTCAGCTCCTTGCGCCTCTTGCTCCCAGCTCCTCACACTCCCCCCACAAACTGAAGTGAGCTCCTTTTTAAAACCCAGGTGCCCTTATTAGCCCGCCTTAATTGATTCTAGAAGCTTCTTCTTAATTGGCTCCAGGTGTCCTAATTAGCCTGCCTGCCTTAACTGGTTCTAGCAGGTTCCTGATTACTCTAGTGCAGCCCCTGCTCTGGTCACTCAGGGAACAGAAAACTACTCATCCAGTGACCAGTATATTTGCCCTCTACCAGACTCCTGTATCCCACTGGTCTGGGTCTGTCACAGCCCTTTCAGAAATCTTATCACCGTGGCATCGGAAAGAACTGATTTCTCCTAAATAAGGGGATGAAACACTGATATTGCTGCCATACGCACTCTCACTGAACTGAGGGTAAGGCCTGATTTCTAAAGATGTAGTAGATACTCCAAGATGTCCTAGATGGAAGTCCCTGTTGGTTGGGTCCCGCAGGCAAAGAACAGCACCAAGAACCTCTTCCACTTCACTAAGTAGGCTTTCCTAGTGGAGGACTTCCTACTGTTGAGTTGGACTTGCTGGACAGCCGCCAAGCACTACTCTACCTCTTCATTCAGTTATGCAGCAGCCACGCCATAAGGGACGTGGAGCTGATCACATGATGGAGGGTGTGGCCGTGGTTCTGAGCGAGCAGGTCAGGAAGGAGAGGAAGCGGTATGGGAGCCTGAACAAGGAGGTATGTGAACCAGCGCTGTTTCAGCCACACCAGAGCAATTAGGATGAGCTTGTCCCGATCCACCTTGAGCTTGAGGATGACCAGAGGAATGATCAGAATAGGGAGAAAGGTGTACAACAGAGTTGACTATGTGCTGCAGTGGAAAGCATCAGAGGGAGCCCATGCTGAGCTCCCCACCCCCACCCCAGAACAGAATACGCAACACTTTCTGTTTTTCCTCATCACAAACAGTCAATCGTGGGGATGTCCCACATCGCAAAGATGACCTGGAGGACACTCGCCGTCAGGGACCACTCATGGCTCACAGAGAAAAACCTGCTGAAATGGTTCACAAGACAATTCTGCATCTCCAGCAAGTGGACTGCT